AGCTGACCTGATTTGGCCAAAGGACAGGTGTGAGTGCAGTGAAGTTGCCCTTCTTCCCTGCATGCACGTGACTGCTCGCAGTGTGTGCTTCCTACAGTGCGTTTACTTTCCGCTGGATTCCAAACTTGTCTTCAGGGTATTTTGGTGCTCATATCATTGTTAGAGCAGCATCTGTGTAGCAAAGCGAGCTGGGCTTCCTACCCTGCCTTCTTGCTCATGGTTTGCACCATGTCTTTTAAGTCTTTAAAAAATTGTCAGGTAAGTGTTGCTATATATGTTTTCAGCTGAGAGAGCTCCTATCCAACAAAGGCAGATTTCAGCCTGAGGTCTTTGTACACGTTTATCCGCTAAACCGCAGTGCTTACGGAGACATACGGGGCTTCTATTCTGAACCACAGTACGATAGTGAGGAGGAAACCTAGCAAGAAGTCTCATCAGTTTTAAGCAACTGTAAGCTCTGACCGCAAGGTGGCAGTGTTGGCCTTGGCTCTGCCTAGAGACAGGATTGCGCAGGAGTAGCAAGACCTGGCCGTTGACTGACTAGGTATGCGGTCTCTGACTGGCTGAGCGTACACCCCGAGAGTACCTTTGTGGATGTAAAAAAATAAAAGATGTTGAACAGACAAGTCAGTTTAGGGGACAGCCCTGAGCCGAAGAAGGATGGCGAAGCATCTGAGGACCTCCCCGGTGGCTTTGTGGCTTTATTTTCATAGTAAGTTTGTGAAGAGGATTAGCCAGGTGGACACAGGAAGCCCAGGGAACATTTTCTTAGACACATCGCACTGGGGTAGGAGGAGGGAAGAATTTGGGGCCATTTTACGATTCTCTTGGGATTCACTGTGGCAAGGAGGAAGGGATGCAAAGCAGAAGGCGTTAAGAGTGGGCGATCGCTCTCTCATACCTCATTTTGCTTTTTGATCAGGGGTGAGCGGCCACAACCAAGTGGAACAGAGTACTCCATCTCTGACTGTCCTGGAGGAAGAGAACTGCACATTTCAGTGCAATTATACAGTGAGTCCCTTTAACAACTTAAGGCGGTACAAACAGGACACAGAGAGAGCTCTTGTTTCCCTGATAATCATGACTTTCAGTGACAGTGACAGGAAGAAGTCGAATGGAAGGTACACAGCGACTCTGAATCCAACTGCCAAGTACAGCTCCCTGCACGTCACAGCTGCCCAGCTCAGCGAGCCAGCTGTCTGCGTCTGCGTGGTGGGCGCAGCGTGCTCCGCGGGCACTGGCAGCCAGTACCCAAACCTGCGCCTGCAGGATGTCGAGGAGGCCCCGGAGGTGAAGCAGGAGCAGTTTTTGAATGTTGTCTGTGATTCGCAAGTGAGCTACTACTTCTCTCTCAGACATGATTGAGTTTGATATTGAGCCTAGATGTCTATTAGCATGGAGGGTCCTCACTCAGCACAGAAAGTTAACTGCTACACCCGGCTGTTCCCAAGGGTAAAGCCATCATGTTGCTACTTGCCACTGAAGTAGATGATAATTTTTGTTGAAAGGGAGAGATCAGGTCTGTGTGGGGTCCAGCAACCAGTAGAATGACTAAGCGGACAAGCAAAATGTTGATGAGGCTGATGACAGTATTTGATAAGATTCCTTCCTCTAGATAGCTCTTTAGTCCTCATTTAATGGCTATTCAAGTTCTCAGAGAATGTTCTGTGGGGAGAGTTCTGCTTTATCAATATATCCACGTTCCACATTAAGGCAGCGTTCAGATGCTGCACCAACTTTTTATATTGCTTTCCACAACTGCTCCTTTGG